CCCCAAGGCTGTGGCATCAGCTCCTGCCTGAGTTTCCAGCCTGTGGGCCCACCCTACGGATTTCAGATGTGCCAGCCCCATAATTGTGTGAGCCGATTCCTTAAATCTTTTATTATTCGTATGTATGTCCCATTGGTTCACTTTCTCTGGAGCGCCCTAACGGATGTGTGTCCTAAAATTGTACTGTGATAATGGCTGCACGGCACCGTAAATTGACTGGAAATCATTAATTGCATTTTCAGTGGTGAATTTTATGGTATATAACAGCCTCAATAAAGCTGTAACTGTTTATTTTATTTATTTATTTATTTATTTTGTGAGGAAGATCAGCCCTGAGCTAACACTCATGCCAATCCTCCTCTTTTTGCTGAGGAAGACCGGCCCTGAATTAACATCTATTGCCAATCCTCCTCCTTTTTTTTTTTTTTTTTCCCTTTTTCTCCCCAAAGCCCCAGTAGATAGTTGTATGTCGTAGTTGCACATCCTTCTAGTTGCTGTATGTGGGATGCGACCTCAGCATGGCCTGAGAAGTGGTGCATCGGTGTGCGCCCGGGATCCGAACCCAGGCCACTAGTAGTGGAGCGCGTGCACTTAACCGCTAAGCCAGTTGGGGCCGGCCCAAGCTATAACTGTTTGAATAGCAGCAGCCTCACCTTGATGCTTGCTCAAGACAAGGTTGACATAAGGGAAGCCATATTGTAGAAAAGAAAAACTCTGTTGTAACTTTGAATGACCTCTGACAAACTAACCCAGCTGGATATGCACCCTCCAGGAGATCTAACTGCTAGGTAGGTTTTACGACCCCTGCTTGTGCATGTACCTCCCAGCTGCGATAAGATGATAACTTGGTTCTTTTGAGTTCCTTAGGAATGTGATGACCCCCGAACAGAGAATCTATGCTAATAGCCATCATCAATGAAAACTGAAAGATCTGGTGTGGCGACTCGCAGTCTGTAAGACCAGAAGGTCAACATTCCTAACTCCCTCCCCTATAAGCCACTGGTCTATCTAACTGCTGTAAGATTTGTGCCCCTTTAAGATGGTTTTTTTCAGACATTAGTCGGCCATCTTCCCTCTTGCTAGCAAGCTGTAATAATAAAGTCCTTTTTTTCCTACCACCTTGCCTCTTGACTATTGGCATGTCTTGCGGCGAGCAGAAGGCCCACGTTGGGCGGTAACAACCTGGGGCCCTCCACTGTGCCACCCAGCTCTGGCCCCTGCCCCTCCCTGCTCAGACCTCCCTTCCTTCTGTCCTGGCTCAAGCCACCCAGATCCTCAGCAGCCTCAGAGCCCTGGGGGGCCAATGGAGTCTGAGGGCCTGGTGGGGCCCCCGGCAGGCAGGGAATCCCCTTGCAGGACCCAGCCTGGCCTCCAAGTGGGGAGGGAGGCCTGAAGAGGCCAGAGAGCCGGGCACAGTGCCTGATGGGCTGACAACTGTGGGTCTCGAGCCAGACAAGGCCTCCATAAATCACATGGCCTCAACTGAGTGGGTCCTGGGTGCCAGGGTGAGGAGAGAGGGAGGGGCTGTGGGCGGTGGATCCAGGGAGGCCAGCAGAGCCACAAGAAACCTGCAGGAGTCTCTGCGTGGCTGTGTGTGGGTGTGAGTGTACACGTGCAAGAATGTGCACATGTGTGAGAGCGTGTGTATGTGTGTGAGTGCTTGCCTAACGTTTTTAAATGCTGAAGCACCCTGGATGCCATCATGAGGCTTCCTGAGAGGAGGCAGGAATGTGGGCACTGCCAGGAGGGGCTGGGAGGGCAGCCCCAGCAGAGCGTCCCCAGGCAAGGCCATGGTGGCTGGAGGTGGGAGGACAGGGGAGAGGTGGGGGGGGGTCAACCAAGGGAGGCCAGGTCGGGAGAGGCCATGCTGGGACCTGGGACCGGGGGCTGGAGGGGAGTGAGAAGATGCTTGATGGACGCTGTGGGTGGGCATCTGTCTGGAAGGCAGTTGCGGGGGCCGCTGCAAGGCAGGACCTGGATTTCATTTCTGACCAGACCTGAGCCATGTGTGTTGTGGGCTGCAGGTGTAAGGCCTGTGGGGCCGGCAGCCTCAGCCTCTTGCTTTCCGTACCTGAAGCTTCAGCCCTTCGTGGGGCCATCCCTCCCTCCCTGATCCCCTGAGGCCTCAAGTGAGCCTGCCCTGCTAAGACTGCCTAAAGGAGCTGGAGGGCTCCCCACAGGTGGGATATGGGCCAGGGGCTCCCCTGACCCGTGTGGGCCTGGCTGGGTCACTTCCTGGGTCTGAGCCTCTCCCTGGCCCCCTGGACAGGAAGTTGGAGCAGAACCCACCTGGGTTAGGAGGAAACTCAGGAAGGTGCTTGCGCGGTGCCAGGCACCCACCGTCCAGGCTCAGAGGGGCAGGCGACATGAGTACAGCCCACCCCGCCCACTGGAGCCCCAAACTGTCCCAGGTACAGGTAGGGATCCCAGGGCCTGGGGCTTGGGGCCCAGATGGAACGGACTGTCCTGGGGTGGCTGGCCCGTGCTCAGGGATCTGTGCTGTGAGGCCGGCAGGGCAGGCTTGGCCTTGCCCAGCTCTGGTGCTGGTGACCAGGAGGGACAGACACACAGATGGAAGGAGTCCTGAGCCCAGCTCGGCAGAGGCATGGCTTGTCCGCCCAGGACCAGGGCCTCTGTCCCCAGGGCCACTGTGTTTTACTTCCACAGGGCTCCTGGGCCCCAGGCGGCCTGCAGGAGCTCAGCCCATGTGTCTCCCCTTGCCCTGACTCGGGGTGGCCGCAGCCCCCTGGGTGTGACCAGATGTCCTGAGAGGGAAATCACTGCTCCGGCCTGTTCTCCTTTCTTCCCCAGAGGTGTGTGTGTGTGTGTGTGTGTGTGTGTGTATGTGTGTCTATCTCCAGCCTCAACCCTTTCCCAGGACCCGCAGGTTCATCCTCCAATATCTCCCCCCACCCACTGGCTTGTGGTCCCCCAGGGCAGGTGCCTCCCCCTGCAGTGAGTCAGGACTGTCCTGTCCAGGCTGCCTGCCCCCCAGCCAGAAGCGCTCTGGCTCCCGCTGATTCTCCAGAATTTTGGCTGCCTATCGCCGACCCCCCCCCACTGCCATTGCCTTGCCTCCCCCGACCCCTGAAATAGGGGCCTTCTAGCCTAGTCTCCCTGCCTGCGGCTGGCCTCACCCCACTACATCCTTCCATGCCCCCACCACTGCCTCAGATACACCCCCACCCTGACCCCAACACTCAAGGGCTCCTGGGTCAGGACCCTGCCTGACTCCCGGTCTCATCTCCTCCTGCCCATGCCCATCACAGGACACGGTGCCCCGGCCCACTCCCTCCTCCACACCTTTGCCTGAGTTCCCTCTGTGTGCTGCCTGGCACACCTGGGCACCCCTGGAAGCCCAGCATGACACCCCTGGGAGCATTAACCAGGACGCTTAGGCCCCACTGACAGAGCATGCGTCAAGCCAGGTCCTAAGTTTGGGGTCAAAAGCATAGCTTCCTCATCATCACTCCAAGACATGGTGCAAAGAACTAGTCACACATGCAGATGAATGGGGGCCGCCAGGACACTTTGGGGGGCGTCTCTGGTCTCCAAGATTGGGGCCTTCTCAGCACATATTTTTTTTTTTTTGGTAAGGAAGATTAGCCTGAGCTAACATCTGTTGCCAATCCACCTCTTTTTGCTGAGGAAGATTGGCTCTGGGCTAACATCCATGCCCATCTTCCTCTACTTTATATGTGGGATGCTGCCACAGCATGGCTTGATGAGCAGTGTGTAGGTCTGCACCTGGGATCTGAACCCTGGGCCGCCAAAGCGGAGTGCATGAACTTAACTGCTAAACCACCAGGCCAGCCCCCACTTCTCAGTACATCTTGGAATCAAGACCCAGGAATACCTGGGGTCTTGGTTAAGATGCAAATTTCAGGCCGTTCTCTTCTGAAAACATTTTGGGTCTCAAGTGAGGCCGATGGCCTGGGACCCCACACTTAGGGGCTGCCAGCAGGGGCAGCAGGTCTCCACCCACCTGCACGTTAGAATCCTGGCAGGGCCCTGAAGGGGGTCCAGGCAGAGCCTGGGTGGTGGTGAGTCTGATGTGCAGCTGAGGCAGGGACCCACCTGTGGGGCAGGAGCTGGAGCCACGATGAGGAGTGTACAGGCTGCTGGTGGTAGGGCTGGGGGTGGGGAGAGGTCCAGGACCCTTCCCTGAGGATGGGCTCTCTGTGGGCAGGGCCCGGTGGCCTTGGTGTCCCCAGGAGGCCCAGCTCAAATGCTACACATAGGAGGGACAACATAAACCCTGATGCAGTGTGGGGTGATCCAACCCCCATTCCACACACAGGTCTGGAGAGGAAGAGGCAGGTGAGCTGCTAATGGGAGAATTCTGGCTCATAGTTTCAGTTTGGGGGCTGTGCTTTTGCCCTGGAATGACGGCCCCTCCTCCCTGAGCAAGCGGGGACTGGTCATTCCCAGCCTCGCCCTCGGCCTGGCTCAAGATGGACGGCACCCACCTACTGCATCAGGACGGCCGGATCAGCCACCAGCAAAGGCCTCAAAGGAAGACGTGTGCCCTCCCCAGCCAGACCAACAGGCTCTTCCGCGTGCTGTGGGGGTACATCCTGGAGGCTCCTGCTGGGCCCCTGAAGACGAGGGTGCTCCCGCCCCTCAACATCCCACCCCACTGCTGAGGCAGGACAGGCAGCGGAGAGCTCGGGTTTATTGTTCCAAGTGCTGAAGCTGCGAGGAATGGAGCTGCACAGGTGCCTGGAGGGACAGGGACGGGGACACAGGGGCCGCGCACCAGCCAGGAGGGGAGGGCCCAGTGCAGGCAGCTTGTGTGCCCACCACGGTGTGCTTGCCACAAGTCAGGGTAGGCACTGGCTGGGTGCTCATGTCTGCTGCTATGGGTGGTGAAGACCCTACACACCATGGTCTTCAGAAGCTGCCTGAGGCTCCTGTAGACCCTCACAGATGGGCTGGGGATGGGGCTTCTGGGTATTATGAGGAAGGCAGCTGATGGAGCTTAAATGAGCCATGGAGAAGGGAGAGCACAGAACTTTCCAGAAGAGGACTGAGGAAGGGGGGCACTCAGTTGTGGGCTGTGGGGGGCTAAGAGGGGCTCCAGGAAGTGACCTGGGCTCTGCGGCCCCTCCCAGCAGAACTCCAGCCACCCCCACCCCACTGACCCCAGTGCCATGTGGGGCCCAGGGACACTCAGGTGCAGACGTCCCCAAGGGCCTCCTGGGATAGCATGACGGTATCAGTGGCCTGCTGGCTGCTGGAGGACAGCGAGCGACCCGAGCCACGGTGGAAGCGGACTCGGCACTCCGGGAAGCTGCCAGCGCCTGCGGGCCCACGGGCGACCCTGGCCTGGAGCGAGCGCTGGCGGAACTCGCGGTAGTTCTTGGTGAGCAGTGTGTAGAGGAAGGGGTTCACACAGCTGTTGCCGTAGGTGAGGCAGGTGGTCAGGTAGTTGACGATGCGCGCAGTGCGGGGCGTGAGTGGCTGGGCCCCACGGTATTGGGTGAGGAGCTGCCACAGCCAAAAGGGCAGGAAGCAGGCCCAGAAGAGCAGCACGATGCCCAGGATGAGGTAGAGCACCCTTGGGTTGGGCAGCCGCCGTGTCTGCGTGAAGGAGGCTTGCTGTGACAGCCAGTAGGCCCGGGCCAGGCGGACATAGAGCAGCCCAATCACCACGCCAGGCCCCAAGATGCTGGTCCCGAAGAGCAGCGTCAGGTAGGTGCGGTGGGCGTGCTGGCCCCAGGCCGGCAGGCAGAGGCTCTTGTGGCCCCTGCGGACCAGCCGGATGGCCAGCATCATGGGCAGCGCCAGCAGCAGCGCCAGCAGCCATGTGCCCAGTGCCAGGACCTTGCGGTAGCCCTTGGGGCGCTGCACCATGTCTAGCGGCCTCAGCACCGCAGCATAGCGCTCGCTGCTCATGATGGTCAGGGTGAAGATGCTGGCGTGCATGGTCAGGAAGTCCAGGCTGAAGAGGACGCGGCAGCCCACGTCGCCGAAGTGCCACTCCTTGGTGATGTAGGTGGCCACGATGAAGGGGATGCTGAGCAGGTAAAGTAGGTCGGCCAGCGCCAGGTTGACGATGTAGACATACATGGGGGCCGAGGCGTGCAGGAAGCAGCACATGACCACCAGTGTGTACATGTTGCCTGCCACACCCACCATGCCCATGGCTGAGAGCACCGCCCCGATGGCACCCGTGGCCACCAGATCCTCCAGGGAGCTGGGCTCTGTCGGGCTGGCCCATGAGCTGTTGAGAGAAGCATTGGGGCCACCAGGCAGCTCAGGCATGGTGCTGCCTGTTGTAGCCAGCACGGGGAAACTGCTCACTGGCTCCAGGCTCAGCACCATCTCTGCTGCCTCATGCTGGGCTTGGGGCTAGGGCGTGCTGCTCCTTTGGACAGGGAGATGTCATCTGTGGGCGACAAGCTCGTCCTGCGGGAGAAGATGCCCATTAGAGATGCCCTGGAGGCCATGCGAGGGCATAGTTCCCATGGGTTGGGGGGCCTGCAGAGGGACAGGGCTTAATGACTCCTTCTTCCCCCTTGGGGACTCCCCACTCAGAACTCTGTCACTCTGCCTCGGTTTCCCCAGCTAACCAGGGGCACCAGAGAACCACCCGACCAGCTGCCCCAGCAGCACCTCCACCCTGGGAGGGTTGACTGGACTTTTCTGAAAAGCAGCGCACAGCCCTCGGCAGTGGGGTCAGCAGTGGATGGAGCTGGGAGTCCTCTCCGGGCCTCACCTTCTCGGTGAACAAGCGGGGGAGCTGTGGGTACCCAGAGTCCTTTCTCCCAATTTATTTCTCCTGTACATTTAAAAAACTGTTTTGTTCAGATTGCAAAAGTATTATCTGCTGACTTTAAAATTTCAAATAGGAAAATATGTGTGGTAGAGAGGGGAAAGCCCTTGCAATCTCCCTTTATCCATATGGTGAAAATGAGCTGTCATTCCCACTTCACACTGTACACAAAAATAGTTCGAGATGGACTGGGGACCTGCATGTAATCAATCAATCAAGCTTCTGGGAGGAAACAGGAAAATATCTGCATGACCTTGGGTAGGCAAAGATTTCTCAAAAAAGAACAAAAACACTTGCAATAAAAGAAAAGACTGATCAAGTGGACTTCATTAAAATTAAAAACTTCACTGAGAGAGTAAAAATGTAAATCCTGGACTGGGGAAAGATGGTCAGAAGGCATATATCAGACAAAGGATTAGTAACCAAAATATATGAAAGAACTACAGATCAATAAAGACTAACAACTCATTTGAAAAAAAAAAAAAAAAGACAAGATTTGAACAGGAACTTCTCACAGGAGGATATCCACATGGCCAAGCAGCACATGAAAAGATGCTTGACATAATCAGTCATCAGAGGCACGCAGACCAAAACCAGTGCACTCTCACCAGGAAGGCTGGACGCCAAAGGCAGGTGCTGGTGTTGGGAGGGCATGGAGGATGGGAACCCTCCCTCACTGCTGGTGGGAATGTAAAATGGTGCAGCCGCTTTGGAAAACAATCTGGCACCATCAGTAAAGCCAGGCTTGTGCACGCCCTGCCACCCGCCAGTTCCACTCTTAGGTTTGTACCCAAGAGAAAGGAGGGCAAATGTCCACAAAAAACAAGAGCAGCTTCACTCCTCATAGCCAGGAGCTGGATCAACCCAAATGTCTCTTGGTAGCGCAGATAAACAAACTGTGACATCAACATAAAAACGCTGGCTGCAATGAGGAAGATGGAATTATCCTACAGTCAACAACGTGGGTGAAACTCACAAGCTATGTTGAGGGAAGAAATCAGACAGAAAAAGAACACGCTGTGTGATTCCATTTACAGAAGTTCAGGGACAGGCAAGACGGTCGATGACAGTGGAGGTCAGAGTGTGGGGGTGTAAACCGGGAGGGGGCACTGCAGACCCTCTGGGGGATGGAAACCTGCTGTGTCCTGATCTGGGTGGTGGTGACACAGGCGTAGGCACGTGTAAACACTCGCGGAGTTGCACACCTAAGATCTGTGCTTCTTGCACGAAGACTATTTTCATAAGAAAAAAGAGGCCTAAAACGTGGGAATGTTTCCACGGAGAGGGGAGGCCCGGGTGCCCCCCACCTCCCCACTATCCAGGGATAATACTGGCTCCAGGCTTTTCCCTCTGCACGTCCAGGGTTAATAATGATGAGGATGAACTCGAGACCGTCCCACCTGCTGACGCCCGGCAGACTCAGGGGTGCAGAGACGCCGCCCAGGCCCCTGTGCCCGCGAGATCCCGCCCAGCCTCTGGTCCGGCGAGGGGAGCTGGGGGTCCTCCTACCGTCCGGAGGCCCCTGTCCCTGCTGCCGCCGCGGGTCCCGGTACCAGAGACCTCCCCCACGGCGCTGCCCAAGAGCCGAGCTGGGGGGCGCAAGGTTCCCCAGCCAGAGGCGGCCTCGGGCCTCGGGCCGCCGCGGGACAAGCGGCTGCCCGGGGCCGCGCTTCGGAGCACCGGGCAGGGACCCGAAGCCCGGCGGAGCCCGCACGCACCTGCGGCTTCCCCGTCCTCTCTCGGCGCCTCGGCGGCTCCACCTGTGCGGAGCGCGTCCCCCGGCCACCCCTGGCATTCCCCGCAGGCGGCCCTGGGGAGCGAGGAGGGCTGGGGACGCGGGCGATTGCGCCCGGACGGTGCGGGTCTGCGGGGAGGGCGCCCCGCGCAAGGGTCGCGGCCCCACCCCGCGCACTGGCCATGGCACTCAGGGCGCCCGCGCGCTCACCTCGGTCATTGGGCCAGCGGGGCTGTGGCGGGGCCCCGGGGTCGCGCTCGGGGATGGCCGCCTCGCCGCCGCACGTCTCCAAACGCTCGGCGCGGAACTTTCCCAAGGGCTCTGCCCTGGCCGGGCGCGCAGTGGAGGGTGGGGGGGCTCCCAGGGCCTGGGGGTCTCTCCAGTCCCGCCAAGAGCAGCGCTCCGCGCTCAGGTCCCTGTCGCCGCCGCCACCTACCCGGCCGCCAGCTGGGAATGCGCCGTGGCCCCGCGCCAGCGCCCGGATATTAATAACCGGGGGCCGGGGCCCGGGGTGCGAGGGGGCGGCCCTGGGGGCGCGCGGGGTGTGGCTGGAGGGACAAGGCGGGCAGCCGTGGGGCGGGAGGGGTGGTGCGCCGGGAGTAGGGCAGCGGGGAAGAGGTCGCGGGTGGGGGGGTTAGTGGGGTCGCGGGTGGGGGGGTTAGGGAGGCCGGGGGCGCCGGGACCTGCGAGGAGAAGGTGCCGAACGCTCGGGCCAAGCGTGGGAGGTCGCGGGCTCTGAGGCTGGGCACCCTGGGTGGGACATGGACCGCCACGCCGCCGCTCCGGACCCAGGGGCCGTGTCCGTGGGGCAAAGCCGCCTCCAGCCCAGCTGCCCAGGCTAACCCGCAGCCTCTCCGCGGGGGTCTCTGCTTCCCGCCTTCGCCCCTCTGCACCCCCGCACCCCAGTTGTCAATCAAGCCCTGGACCTGCCGGCGCGCTTAGTGCAGGGAACACTGTGGAGGGGTGGGGGGTGGGGGTGGCAGAAGCGGGCTGCGATCCCGTGACATTCATGACATTCACGACATTCACATTGTTGTGCAATCATCACCATTTCCAAAATCTTTTCATCACCCCAAACAGAAATTCTGTCCCCATTAAACAACTCCCCATTCCCTCCTCCCTCCAGCCCCTGACAACTACCATTCTCCTTTCTGACTCTGTGAATTTTGAATATTTTAGGAACCTCCCATAAGTAGAATCATACAGGATTTGTCCTTTAGTGTCTGGCTTCTTTCACTTAGTATAATGTCTTCAAGGTTCATCCACATTGTAGCATGTGTCAGAATTTCCTTCCTTTTTAAGGCTGAATGATATTACATCAAGTGTGGAGACCATGTTTTGCTTATCCATCATCCATAATGGACCCTTGGGTTGTTTCCACCTTCTGGCTATTGTGACTAGTACTGCTGTTTTGTTTAATAATTTTCTGTTCCTTTTAGGGATGATATTCCTTCCTTTATCTCTTTGAAAATCTTAACCATCCTTATTGTCAGGTCCTTTTCAGATGACTCCACCATTGTCAGGGAGCCTGAGACCCTCCAAGCACTGCTCTCCACTCCTCATTAACAGACAGGGACCCCGAGCCCAGCAGCTCTTGACACAGGAGAGTCTCTGTCACCCCCCGCAGCTCACGCACAAGGGGACTCTTGTGGAGTCAGGCCTTGCTCTTATCCTCTCCCTCTGTGGGCAGGCAATCAGCCTCATTGTGTTTGGGCCCATCTGCTGCCTTGGTCCCAACACTCTGCGACCTGGGGCATGCCTGGGTCACAGAGAGGAGCCTCCAGGAACACAGCCTAGGGTCAGCTGCTGAGGTCACTGAGGGGCCCAGCCTGACATGAGCCCTCAGGCCACAGACCAGGACTTATGGATGACCAAGGACAGCATCAGCCAAAAGTGTGGGTCACCTCCCTGCCCTTCTAGGAGCAGCCTTGGTCCTCATCTCCTGGTCATGTTGTTCTGCAGAGCCGCAGGCCACGAGGCCCATGGCCTTCTCTCCATTTGCACCGTGAAGGAAAGACAGACGCCCATCCAGTGTGCATGCTGGACAGACCTTGCAGTCAGTGGGGGAGGGGCTGGGCTGTGCTCAGGGTGGGCAACAGGGGCGGGGGGAGGGGGGTTAGAGTGAAACCCAAAGATGTTGGTGGCCGGGGGACGTCACCTTGAGGGGCACTGTCAGGGAGACACCTGAGAACCCTCCTCTACCGCACAGGTGACCTTGGCCTGGACCTGAGAGGACCTGAGTGTCCACAGAGAGGGCTCTCTGCTCAGCTCAGAGCGGAGAGGCGGGTGAGGGGTGGGCAGGGCTCCTGCAGGAAACTGAGGCATGTCTGGGGCTGCTAGTGCCCTTGGGGGTTGTTGGGGCCCCACCCCTAAAACCTACTGTGCTCTGTGCAAAAGTAACTGCCTGCCTGTGACTCACTTTATGGACCATTAAATCATAAATCATGATCATCAAGCCGCTACTTTCCACAAATGTGACTTTAAAGCTTTGCTCTGCACATAATGGGTTCACTAGGTTTTGAAATGATCATTTTTCTGCAAGAACTCATTTCCAATTGTTTTACTAAGTTCTGTGGAAAATGAGGTGACAGAGTCTGGCTTCATGGGGCTCTTCACAGGTGTCCATCCAGCCCAACCACAGATTCATCAAAGGTACATCCTGTTGCTGCTCCCCCTCTCAAAAAGCCACTGGGGAAAGTAAAAGGGAGTGAGCAGGGCTGGAGGTGGGGGGCACAGGCCAAGATGCACCCTGACACAGTCCAGGCCAGTCCCACCCACAGTGCCCATCAGAAGAAGCCCGGAGCCTTCAGGGCCCTGGACTCGTTGCACCGCCCACACTGAGGGCACCTGCCCAGAAGGAGGTCCCAGCAGGGACACACCTGCCACCCTGAAGTCAGCAGCTCCAGGCCCCGCAGTGAGCTGCTCACCATACTTTTCCTGGACACCCTTCCCTTTGGTGCTGTTGCTGATGTGATT